AGAGGGAGAGAGAGAAACATCAATGATGAGAATCATTGATTGGCTGCTCCTGCACACCCCCCACTGGGAATTGAGCCCACAACCCGGGCATGTGCCCTTGGCCAGCATTGAATCTGGGACCCTTCAGTCCGCAGGCTGACGCTCTATCCACTGAACCAAACCGGCTAGGGCTAAAATGATTTTTAATTATTGATTTGAAAGAGGGAGAGAAAGAGAAACATCGATCTGTTGTTCCATTTATACTTTCATGGTTCCCTGACCAGACATTGAACCTGCAGCCTTGGCGTATCAGGACGATGCTCTAACCCACTGAGCTACCTGGCCAGGGCTGTTAAGGTTTTGAGAAATCAGCATTCGATGCTGAATTTGACCAAACCTTCTTGGCATTTCTCAGAAATGATTATATGGGTTTCCTTCCGTGTTATGGAAACACAGTTGAATTTATAGAGATTTTCTAACTTACCATCTTCGTATTATTGGAATAAACCCCACTTAGCAACGGCGCATTGTTTACTACATGTGGACTCGCTTTTCTAGAACTTGGGGTGCAACAAGCAGAATTGCCCAACAGTGAGCCCAATATTTCACTCCAAGTTTGGCCTGGAAATAAACCACCTGTGACCGTTCCCAGGAGGAGGGGTCACGCCAGCTCCTCAGTGGCTTCATGCATGGGATTTGTCCTCCCCCTTGTTAAAAAAATAGCTCAGGCCAGTGTGCTCAGTGGTTAGAGCGTCGGCCAACAGACCAAGGGTCACAAGTTTGATTCCTGGTCAAGGGCACATACCTGGGTTGTGGGTTCGCTCCCTGCCCCTGGTTGGGATGCTTGCAGGAGGCAACCAATGGATGTGTTTCCCTCACATGGATGTTGCCCTTTTTCTCTCTCCTCCCCCCTCCCACTCTCAGAAAAGCAGTGGAAAAAATATCCTCATGCCCTAACTAGTTTGGCTCAGTGGATAGAGCATCGGCCTGCAGACTGAAGGGTCCCAAGTTCGATTCTGGTCAAGGGCATGTACCTTGGTTGTGGCCACATCCCCAGTAGGGGGTGTGCAGGAGGCAGCTGATCAATGTTTCTAACTCTATCCCTCTCCCTTCCTCTCTATATAAAAGCAATAAAATATATTTAAAAAATATATCCTCAGGTGAGGATTAAACAATAGAAATAAATAGGTAAATAAAAATAAATGTGGGGGTGGGGTGGGGGCCTCCCCCAGACCATTGCATGGTGGCTGGGAAGATCCCCTGATATGGGCATCAGCAAGGAGATGCACCAGGTGCTGTCGCTTTCTAGGTGGTGGGTTAGAACGGATTTGTCATCTCTGAATCATTGAAACGACAAGTACAGTGGGGCCTTGACTTACGAGTGTCCCGACTAACGAGTTTTTTGAGATACCAGCTGTCTCTCGGCCAATTTTTTGCATTGAGTTGACAGAGTAATTTGAGTTAACGAGCTCCTTAACGAGCTCGGTCTCGGAACGAATTAAACTCGTAAGTCAAGGCCCCACTGTACTTCTCTCTTGCAATCAGTACAATGAACAGTTTCCACTTTGCACAGTAACGTACAGGTCCACCACTCTCCCTAGGAAACTGCTCCAGAATGACACTTGCCTGTCCTGACCAAAGCTGTGACCGACAAGCAGGAGGGCGAGCACACGTACTGTCCCAGCCAGGCCCCCCACGATTCTGGGGTTTGGCAACAAACCACGTTTCTTGCCAGTTTGCCTCCAGGTGCCAGAGGCAGCCACAGACAGACTGCCATTGGTTGCCTCTCTCGCTTCCCTTCCCCAAGCAGCACAGGGGCCTTCAGGAGGTCAAAGCGCCTGTGTGCTCGTTAGGATGAGGGTTAGGGTTGGGGGTGGGGTTGGGGTTAGGTTTTGGGGGGATAGGAAAGAGGGCACAGCCTAGGGTGTTTAGAGGGTGGGTAGGGTAGGAGTTAGGGTTGGAAGAGGGTGGGCTTTTTAAAATATATTTTTATTTGTTTCAGAGAGGAAGGGAGAGAGAGCGAGAAACATCAATGATGAGAGAGAATCATTGATTGGCTGCCTCCTGCACACCCCGCACTGGGGATCGAGCCTGCCACCTGGGCATGTGCCCTGACTGGGAATTGGATCAACCCCTGAGCCACGCTGGCCAGGCAGGTGGGCTACTTTTCATGCCTTAAGCACCTGCTGGAGCGAGAATAAAGACGGGCATCACTCCTGTGAGTGCGGGGGCAGGCGGACACTGCACATCCGCTTCCCTACGTCCAGCGGCCCTGGGATGACTTATTTGAGGATCACAGATATACAGACCAAACTGCACCTCTCAACAGAAGTTCAAGCTAATTCAGAGCCAAGATCACTTAGGTGCAAAACCAACTAGCACCCTTTTCATAGTCTAATTGCATCAGTTCTCCCAATAAAATTTTGACTTTCCAATTGAGTCAGAGAAGTCTGTTTCTGGCTTGATTTCCTCCCCTTGTGGAATTCTTTTGGGGGTGGTTTTGGAGTTGGCTCCAGGGCGTCCTCTCCCACTGCTCACAGTAGCACACATCTTCCTGCAGGGAGTCCAGTCAATACCATCGGGATTAGGTCACACAGACCTCATGGGGATTATTACTACTACTAGAAGTCCGGTGCACAAAATTTGTGCACTGGGGGGGGGGGCGCGGGAATCCCTCAGCTCGGCCTGCTCCTCCTCGCAGTCTGGGAGCCCTCAAGATATGTCTGCCTGCAGGGAGCGGACCTAAGCTGGTAGTTGGACATCCCTCTCGCAGTCTGGGACCCCTCGCTCCTTACCGCCTGCCTGCTCACTGCTCCTTACCACTTGGCTCGCTGCTCCTTAGCACTGCTGCAGAGGTGGGAGAGGCTCCCACCACTGCCGCTGCGCTGGCCAGCTGTGAGCCCAGCTTCTGGCTGAGCGGCATTCCCCCTGTGGGAGCGCACTGACCACTAGGGGGGCAGCTCCTGCATTGAGCGTCTGCCCCCTGGTGGTCCATGCACATCATAGCCGTAACATTCGCTTAGGCTCTTATTATATAGACTAGAGGCCCAATGCACGAAATTCGTGCAAAAGTAGGCTTTCCCCCAGCTGCCGGGACCAACTTCCCTCTGGCACCCAGGACCCAGACATCCCTCCAGCACCCGGGACCCGGGCTTCCCTCCGGCTGCCGGCAGGTACCCAGGACCCGGCTTCCCCGGCAGCCCCGGCTTCGGAAGGTTGTCTGGAAGGACTTTCAGTCTAATTAGCATGTTACGCTTTTATTATTAGAGATGGCTTTAGGGGCCCTGGACTGAGGCTGGGAGCAGAGACTCCCTTTAGCATGTTTATCTGCAGCAGCTCTGAAGAGGACCCATAGTCACCGTTGGAATGTTTTATAGTGATCCCATCCGCTTATAGTGTGTCAGGGTCCCCAAACCACCTCAGGCTTGATGATTCACTAGGACTCACAGGACTCAGAAACAGCTACAGTTTGTTACCATGAAAGCATACAGATTCCAATCTGCAAAGGCCTCAGGCACACAAAGCTGTAGAATAGTTCAGAGGCTCAGTGGTAACTTGAAAACAGGCCTGTCTTGGGAATGTGTGGGTTTGAGCAACCCAGGCCTGCGGAGTCATTTCCTGCCCACGTGTCCTCTGCCCTCTAGGAGGGCCCAGTGGGAAACATTTGGGCCATTTTCCTAAGTTTTGGTGCCCCCGGACACCTCGCACATTTTCACTTATGCTGAGAATTAGGACCTGGGAATAGCAGAGGTATGGGCGGGGGCAGCAGCTGCAAAGGCATGTAGGCCTAGGGGGGTCCCGATGAGCCATCTGTTCTTAAGAGTATGGACCAGAGCCCTGGCCCGTTTGGCTCAGTAGATAGAGTGTTGGCCTGCGGACTGAAGGGTCCCGGGTTCGATTCTGGTCAAGGGCACATGCCTGGGTTGTGGGCTTGATCCCCAAGAGGGGGTGTGCAGGAGGTGGCCGATGAATGATTCTCTCTCATCATTGATGTTTCTCTCTCTCTCCCTCTCCCTTCCTCTCTGAAATCAATAAAAATATATTTTTTTAAAAAGAGTATGGACCAGCATGTCACCTGGTTACTGGTGGTCTTCACACTACACAGCCACCTCCCAGGGGTCCCGAGTTGCACAGGGTACCAGTTTTCCTGAGTGCCCTATAGAATGGGCATCACTCCCGGTTGAGACACACAACCAACACGGAGTAAGAGACTTTCCCTGACCCCTTATGCTGATAAGGGGGCCCTAATCTTGTACTCTTACCCCAGAGTGACTCAGGTCATCTATAATAATAAAAGCATAATATGCTAATTGGGCTGGATGTCCTTCCAGACGACCTTCCGGACGAAGCCAGGGCTGCGAGGGAAGCCCAGGTCCCGGGTGCCAGAGGGAAGCTGGGGAAAGGAAGGCCTAATCTTGAACGAATTTCGTGCATTGGGCCGCTAGTAAATACATAACAGGCTCAGGAGGGACCAGCAAGTAGAACACAGCTCAGCGCAACAGGCAAGCTCATCCAGGAAGTGGGGAACCAATTCACTCACCACAAGCTCATCCAGGAAGTGGGGAACCAATTCACTCCGTGACCAAGAGCAAGAGAAGAAAGACCTCAGGCCCGGTTGATGTGGTCAGTGGTTGAGCATCGACCTATGAACCAGGGCACATGCCCAGGTGTGGGCTCGATCCGCAGTAGAGGGCATACAGGAGGCAGCTGATCAATGATTCTCTCTCATCATTGATGTTTCTATCTCTCTCTCCCTCTCCCTTCCTCTTAGAAATCAATAAAAATGTATTAAAAAAAAAAGATCTCAGAAGTTGGCAGTCCCAGCCTGGACCATGCCAAGTGTTCAGCAGTTATTCTGTGGTCACTCCATGAAAATGCGATGGACTCACTTCCAATTAATAGGTCAGCTGTTGAGGCTGATGACATTTCACACAACAGGAATATTTGAAAGAAGCTTCTTTTAATTATTTTTATTTTTTAATATGTTTTATTGATTTTTTACAGAGAGGAAGTGAGAGGGATAGAGAGTTAGAAACATCGATGAGAGAGAAACATCGATCAGCTGCCTCCTGCACACCCCCTCACTGGGGATGTGCCTGCAACCAAGGTACATGCCCTTGACCGGAATCGAACCTGGGACCCTTCAATCTGCAGGCCAATGCTCTATCCACTGAGCCAAACCGGTTAGGGCGAAAGAAGCTTCTTCTTCTTTTTTAAAAAAATATATTTTTACTTATTTCAGAGAGGAATAGGGAGAGATAGAAACATCCATGATAAGAGAGAATCATGGATCAGCTGCCTCCTACAAGTCCCCCACTGGGGATTGAGCCCACAACCCAGGCATGTGCCCTTGACCGGAATTGAACCTGGGACCTTTCAGTTCTCAGGCCAACACTCTATCCACTGAGCCAAACTGGCTAGGGCAGTGGTCGGCAAACCGAGGCTCGCGAGCCACATTCGGCTCTTTGGCCCCTTGACTGTGGCTCTTCTACAAAGTACTGACTTCTGTGCATGGGCCATGAAGTTTCAGTCGGTATTTTGTGGAAGAGCCACAGTCAAGGGGCCAAAGAGCCTCCTGTGGCTCGCGAGCCGAGGGTTGCTGACCACGGGGCTATGGCCGAAAGAAGCTTCTTAATCACGCAAGGGACTCAGTGGAGAGCAGGTGGGCACAAGCGGCTCCTGCCAAGTGTGCATCAGCCTTCAGCCCAGCCTGGGGTGGGATTAGGGCAAGTTCTCGGTGGGGGCCGGGGTCCCGGTCTGCAGTTCCACAGGAGCCGTGGGCGTGCCTGGGGGGCAGAAGGAAAGGAGGACTTGACCATTGTTAGTGGTCAAACATCAAAACCAAAATCTGACAGTGCCCTCGGCGGTCCGGCTCTGTCTCCTGCTTCAACAGTGTTTGGACGGAACAGACCCAGGGACACCCCTCCTTCCAGCCTCCGACCACCCTCCAGCGTCTCATCCGGTCACCACCTTCAGAACCACCTTCAAGACCAGCCAACACACCGGGTTTTTATCTACCTTAACTCCTATTGCCCAACAACCACGAGCTCCCAAATTTGTCAGAATTATCCCACCGAGGTGGAGGCTGCGGCCAACCGCCTGGCCAGCCTGCCTCTGCGGGCCCCCGACACCTACCTCTCTGGGGGCTGCTGTTTCCACCGCGACCATGTAGCTCTCGAGGGCGTGGGCCACTGCTTCCGAGAGATGGCGGAGAAGAAGCGCGAGGGCACGGAGCGTCTCTTGAATTTGCAAAACCAGCGAGGTGGCCGGGTTCTCTTCCAGGACGTGCTGAAGCCGCCCCAAGGTGAGTGGGGTGACACGCAGGACGCCATGGCCTCGGAGAGGAACCTGAACCAGGCCCTTGTGGAGCTGCGGGCCCTGGTTCTGCCCGCACAGACCCTCAGCTCTGTGACTTCCGGGAGAACCACTTCCTGGGTGAGCAGGTGAAGCTCATCAAGAAGATGGGCAACATCTGACTCAACTCCGCAGGCGGCCGGCCCCCAGGCTGGGCTGGGCGAGTGGCTCTTCGAAAGGCTCACCCCCAAGCATCACCAGGAGCCTGTGGAGCCCAGAGGCCTTTGAGGGGCCCCTCTGCATCCCCCTGGTGTCTGGCTTTTGCCTGAGCCTCACCCTGAAAACCTCTAGCCGTTCTTTTAACCGCCCTGAAGCCCACTCCCATGCATTGGGCCGAATGGAAACAATACAGCTTTTTGCAGCAAACACACACACACACACACACACACACACACACACACACACACAAAATCTGACTTTATTTCAATTCACCCCTGATTGTGACACTGATTTTTAATAAGAAGTATATATTTGGTCTTTGCTCTCTTTCTGGCAAAGAGCTCCTAAACCCCCTGAAATTTGCAATTTGCTAAGTGATAAGGTGGGAAGGAAACAATCTTTCTCTCTCTCTTTTTCTCTCTCCCCCTCCCTCTCACTCCCTCCTCCTCCCCCCCTCGCTCTCTCTGAAATCCATAAACATATCCTTGGGTGAGGATTAAAAGAAAAAAAGAATTCTCATTTATTGCTGTTTGCAAAATTGTTCAGCCACTTTGGAAGACAATTTGACAGTTTCTTACAAAACTAAACATTCTTTCTTACTCTACAGCCCAACAATCCTGCTCCTTGGTATTTACCCAAAGGAGTTGAAAAGTCATGTCCATAAAAAAACCTGCACGTGGATATTTATAGCAGCTTTATTCATAATTGCAAAAACTTGGAAGCTGCCCAGAGGCCTGTCAGTAGGTGAATGGATAAACTGTGGTACATCCAGACAATGCAGTAGTATTTATTTATTTTTATTATTATTTTTATACAAGACTACACATTTATTTTCAGAAAAGACTGAGTACCTTGATTACTGTAAATCTTGATGCTGGGACCAGAAACATACTTTTCAACAGATAGCAAACCCAGGTATTTAAAAACTGAAACACCTTCCTTCATTTTTCCACAAAAGGAAGCTCGCTCTAGAGCTGGGCTAGCGACTGCTTTGTTACAGCTGCCTTCCATTAAGAGATCATAAAATCTTTTTTAAAAAAACCTTTGGGCCCTAACCGGTTTGGCTCAGTGAATAGAACATTGGCCTGCACACTGAAGGGTCCCAGGTTTCATTCTGGTCAGGGGTACATGCCCGTTGCAGGCTTGATCCCCAGTGGGGGGTGTGCGGGAGGCAGCTGATCGATGATTCTCTCTCATCTTTGATGTTTCTATATCTCTTCCTCTCTCTGAAATCAACAAAAATATATTTAAAATAATAAAATGATGTGCCCCAGTTGTTATAACCAGGAGACCTTCCTTTCAAAAAGAAAAAAAAACTTTTGGTGGAGGGAATACAAAGATTGTTGTGTTCTTCTTTTGGCTTTTTAGTGATTTCCAAATGCCCACTGACGTGGTATGTGGAGAGTCACAGCTGAAAGTTGTGTAGTGAAATGAGAGGTGGTTCCCCCCTGGAAAGTTCAGCAGCAGAGTGTTATAATTTCCCTCAGTAACACTTCCAGGTGAGAGGTCCTGTTATCTTCAGACCAATTTTTAAATAAACCCGCAACTCCCCCAACCTTCACCAGGTGCTGTCTGGTGAAGGGGTATCGCAGTGAAAAGAATCAAAGAAAGACATCGCTGCTCTCTCACCAGAAACACGAATTGCGGTAGAGCTGTGACCACCGCTACCCAGACCTGCAATCGTATTTAGCACTAAAAAGAAATGGGCTATCAAGCCAGAGACAGACATGGAGGAAACTTAAATGCATGAAGCAAAACTATGAAGAAAGTAAAAAAGATCAGGGGTTAGCGGTGAGGAAGGGATGAGTAGGTAAAGCGCAGAGGGTTTTTAGGGCAGTTAAAAGATAGGGTCAACATAGTATGATACTGTCATGGTGGGCTTGTCATTATACATTTGTCCAAACCCATATAATGGACACCACCAAAAGTGAGCCCTGCCCTGGCTGGTTTGGCTCAGTGGATAGAGCGTCGGCCTGTGGACTCAAGGGTTCGATTCTGGTCAAGGGCACATGCCCGGGTTATGGGCTCGATCCCCAGTAGGGGGCGTGCAGGAGGCAGCCAATCAATGATTCTTTCTCATCATTGATGTTTTTATCTCTCTCTCCCTCTCCCTTCCTCTCTGAAACCAATAAAAACATATATTTTTTAAAAAGTGAGCCTTGATGTTAACTCTGTACATTAGTGATAATGATGTGTCACCGTAGATTCATCAGTTGTAACAAATGTCTCGCTCTGTAGGTAGAGATAGTGGGGGAGGCTATAGGAACCTCTACTTGTTGCTCAACTTTGCTGTGAATCTAAAACTGCTCTAAAGAAATAAATTATATTTAAAAAAACACACACACACAACAACAACTTTGACCTAAGTGTTTTCCCTTGGGGCCTTCCTAAAGGGCCTGATGACGGGAATCACTGCAAAACGAACCAAAGTTCAGCGATTCTGCTAAAGGTGACCCCTGCTCCCAGCCTAGTGTGGGCCTCTGGGCTCATTGACGTTGTAGCCTGTGGCTGAGTTTCCTCCCTTCCTGTGGCTGACCACATGCATCTGTGATGCTGGGACCAGAAGGGGCACAACACTCATTACAGTGGGGCCTTGACTTACGAGTTTAATTCGTTCCGAGACCGAGCTCATTAAGGAGCTCGTTAAGGAGCTCGTTAACTCAAATTACTCTATCAACTCATTGCAAAAAATCGGCAGAGACAGCTGGTATCTCAAAAAACTCGTTAGTCGGGACACTCGTAAGTCAAGGCCCCACTGTACTTGACTGCCCACAGGTAGCACATTCCTGGGGAGATTCAGCGGTCACTTTTGCACAGAGCATGGAGAGGGGATGGGCTATGGTGAGGTACAGGGCTCTGTGCCTCAGTGAGATGCTTACATAGCAACTGGTCCACACGACACCATGTCAGATGGGGCCCCACCTGACAGCAGGAGAGCTGCATCACAGGGTCCTGTCACATAGGCTTGTTTGGGCTCTTCACTGTGCTGCCACAGCCAACCACTAGGTGGCACCATTGTTTCATTTCCACCTGGTGGGTAACCGATTCTACAGTGTTGGGAGGCAGTCCTATTGGCTGTTCTAAATAGACTCCGGGAGTCCAGCCCACAGAAGGCAGCACATGTATCAGGAATGTCCACTGTAAGGTCTCTTGACCTATGCTTGCACCTCTCCTCTCAAAATGCATGTCACACCATTAATAAAAAAACCACTGGAGCCCTGGCTGGTTTGGCACAATGGATAGAGCATCACCTGTGGACCGAAGGCTCCCAGGTTCCATTACAGTCAAGGGCACATGCGAAGGTTGCCGGCTTGACCCCCAGTAGGGGGCGTGCAGGAGGCAGCCAATCAATGATTCTCTCTCATCATTGATGTTTCTATCTCTCTCTCCCCCTCCCTTCCTCTCTGAAATCAATAAAAATATATTTTTTAAAAACCCACTGGAGGTAACCAAGATGTCCTTCAGTAGGTGAATGGATAGTAATCTGGTACATCAAGACAATGGAATAGGAATTATTTCTTTTTGCTAAAAAGAAATAAGCTATCGGAGAACCAAGATGGTGGCATAGGTAAATGCCTCCCACAACCACATCAAAATTACAACTAAAATACAGAACCATCATTCAGAACCGCCTGAAAGCTGGCCGAATGGAAGTCCTACAACTAGAGAAGTAAAGAAGAAAGCACAGCGAGACTGATAGGACTGGCGGAGGCGCGGAATGGGCTGGTCTGGCACCCGCGTGTGGTGTTTTTTGTTGTTTTTTCTAAAAATATTTTTATTGATTTCAGAGAGGAAGAGAGAGGGATAGAGAGACAGAAACATCAATGATGAGAGAGAACCACTGATCGGCTGCCTCCTGCATGCCCCCCACTGGGGTCAAGCCCACAACCCAGGCATGTGCCCCTGGTCAGAATCCAACCTGGGACCCTTCAGTCCGCAGGCTGATGCTCCATCCACTGAGCCAAACCGGCTAGGGCTGTGGCGTTTTTTTAAATCAGGAGGGAGATCATCCCTGTCCCTGCGGATGCTGCCCGTGAGGAGCAAGGGGTCCCAGGCCCACACCAGCCCTCCAGCCCAGGGTTCCAGAGCTGGGAAGAGAAGTCCCTGTAACTTCAGGCTGTAAAAACCAGCAGGGATGTGGCTGAGTGACACGGAGGCTGCTGGAATCCCAGTGTTCCTCTTAAAGGGCCTGAGCACAAACTTACATAGTCTCGCTTCTTCCGAGCTCCAGCACTGGGTGGCTCTGGGGGACCCAGACACACATATTGGGAGGAACGGGATTGTCTGGCATCTGGGGGACCCAGACACATGCGGGAGGAACTAGATTTTCTGGGCTCTTCAGAGCTGAGCCGAGCCCAGAAGAGCCGAGCCTACCTCTCTACTCCTATAAGTAATCAAAGGAAGTAAAACATCCCTTAACCGAGCACCGGCTCTGGGGACCTAGGGTCCACCCTTCAGGACTGGGCTTGGCCCTTAGGGACTAGGTTCACCTCTGAGGGTCTTAGCTCTGCCCTTTGGGTCTGGGCTCAACTCTTCCAGGCTAGTAGGGCTCTTTGGGGCTAGGGTCACCGCTGGGGACTAGCTTTACCTCTTCAGGCCCCGACTGCACTCCTTGGAGCTACGCTAGGCACTTAGGGGCTAGGCCAGGGGTGGGCAAACTTTTTGACTTGAGGGCCACAATGGGTTCTTAAACTGGACCAGAGGGCCGGAACAAAAGCATGGATGGAGTGTTTGTGTGAACTAATATAAATTCAAAGTAAACATCATTACATAAAAGGGTATGGTCTTTTTTTTTTTTTAGTTTTATTCATTTCAAATGGGCCGGATCCGGCCCGCAGGCCGTAGTTTGCCCACGGCTGGGCTAGGCTCTGACCTTCTGGACTGGGCTCAGCTGTTCGGGGTTAGATTCGGCTCTTTGGAGCTAAGCTCAGCTTTTGGGGACTAGGCTGAGTTCTTTGGGGCTTGGCACGGCTCTTAGGAACGAGGGTCATCCCTTGTGGACTAGCTTCAGCTTTTAGGGCTAGGCTCGGCCCTTTGGGGCTTGGCTCGGCTCTTTGAGGTTAGCTTGGTTCTTTGGGGTTAGCTCGGCTTTTTGGGGCTATGCTTGGCTCTTCATGGCTAGGCTCAGGAACATGGGTGGGGCGACTTTCTCCCAGACAGGGGTGCTGCAGGGGTCATTGTTCCTGTGCTGGGACCTCCCCTGACTGGCGGCCATATTTGAGTCTCAACCAGCTTGGAGCACACTGTTTGCTCTGCCCTGGGGATTCCCTGAATCCTGCCCCATCCAATTTGCAGCCCCACCCAAGCTATTTGTAGCAGCTTTTCCATATGAATGGTCTGTCCTTGCTCAGGCTTCAGACTTTGCTAAAATCTCTCAAATAAGCTGCAGCTGGTGACAGCATGCTCCAAACCTATTAATAAAAGGCTCACAACTGGCACTAGCACCAGCCTTCCTTGCTTCACAGCTGGGCATCTCCTGGGCAACTCCAAGCCCAATACAAATAGCAAATAGCCCCCTCCCCCGCACACCTCCTAGTGGGGATCAAGTCCACAACCTGGGCATGTGCCCTGACTGGGAATTGAATCAGTGACCTGTTGGTGCATGGGTTGACATTCAACCACTGGACCACACTGGCCAGGCACTAACCAACTTCTTGACTAAACCAAGTGACCTCAGCCCTGCAACTGGACTTCATTAGAAGATGGACTGTCCCTGATGATGATCCCAGGTGCAATCATCCCTGATCCACGCCCCACTGTACCCCATCAGATGTCACCTCCACCTAGACTTCCTCTTCCTCTCCCACTTACCCTCTTCTCCCTCCTCGTGGGCCCCAACCTCACCTGTCTTTCAAGTCTGGCTCTCTGCTTCCCAGACCTCTGCTCTCCTAACCCCACCCATATACTACTGTCCTCGAAGGAGGCATTGCCAAGCATCTGGGTGAGTATCACCAAAGTGTACCAATTGTTGGACATGTCAATGGCACCCACTCACCCACCGTTCATCTTACAGCCTCTCTGCTAGAGCTCAAGGAAACTTTTGTGGCAGCACAACTCTTTCCATACACTGGCCACATCTCCAACTCGTCTTCCCAGTGGGTATAAACTCTTCATTGATTCAAGCTCAAAACAGACAAACACACAGATAAGATTCACAGAGGAAAGACCACGCGGTCAGATCATGAAATTGAAAGAATCTGGTACCAGAAATCAGCAAGTCCTCAAAAAAGAATGAAAATCCACTTCTAACTGTGTAATGACGAACAAGAGCCCAGAGCACAGGACCAGAGTGGGACTGCCCGGGGACGGGAGGTCCAGGCTGGCCAGTCAGGAGTGGCACAGGAGGCCTCCAAGAGGCCCACCACCTGGAGGGAATGAACGGGGACCCAGAGGCAAGGTTCAACCCATACCAAGTCTGGGCCCCAGAACTGTGGGGGGAACGCAGCAGACACTCGGGGAGAGGATTTTATTCAGGCTACGGCAACAGGAAGAACGTTCATTAATGAGGAACATCTGCAAGGAAAGGAGGGGCTTGGGTTTCTCTGGCAGGTAAACAAGGAGTCACAAGGAAGAGTGAGGGCAAAGTGGTCCTTTAGGCCCAGCCATTTCTCAGAGCACAGAAGAATGGGGGCATCTCCCAGCCATCGCTGCTTTTCCTGCGCCCCAATATACGCGTGGGGCTCAGGAAAATCTCAATATGGTCAGTTTCTGAGTGCTTGGTGGATGGTGTGTTTCCACTGTGCGTGTCTGGAGGCATGCTGTGCATGTGCAGAACGCATCTCTTTGTTTCCATTGGCTGTGCGTGTGTGTTTCAGAGTGAGGGCTCGTCTCAGCCTTTAGTTGGGTCTGGTGGGCTGTGTGGCTGTTGCAGGCTGGCTATCTGTTCCTGTGTTTCTGTTTGTTGTGGGCTGTGTATGTTTCTTGGTGTGGCTGTCTCTATGTATCTCTGCGTCAGGTAATGTGTGTGTTTATAAGGTGTCTCATGGTTCTATGGATCTGGTGGTGTGTGTATGTGTTGCACGGAGATTCTGTTTGTCTTGTGGCATGTGTGTAGGTGACTCAGCATGTCCATCCGGGTGTCTCTGGTGGAGGGTGTATGTGATTGCAAAGTGAGTGCCTCTTGGTGCTTCTGTGAGTCTGAGCTGTGTGTGTGTGTGTGTGCTGCAAGGTTGTGCCTGTGCTGTGGTTTCCCTGTGGCCCATGGTGTGTGTGTGTGTGTGTGTGTGCTGCAAGGTTGTGTCTGTGCTGTGGTTTCCCTGTGGCCCATGGAGTGTGTGTGTGTGTGTGTGTGTGCTGCAAGGTTGTGTCTGTGCTGTGGTTTCCCTGTGGCCCATGGAGTGTGTGTGTGTGTGTGTGTGTGCTGCAAGGTTGTGTCTGTGCTGTGGTTTCCCTGTGGCCCATGGAGTGTGTGTGTGTGTGTGTGTGTGCTGCAAGGTTGTGTCTGTGCTGTGGTTTCCCTGTGGCCCATGGAGTGTGTGTGTGTGTGTGTGTGTGCTGCAAGGTTGTGTCTGTGCTGTGGTTTCCCTGTGGCCCATGGAGTGTGTGTGTGTGTGTGTGTGTGCTGCAAGGTTGTGTCTGTGCTGTGGTTTCCCTGTGGCCCATGGAGTGTGTGTGTGTGTGTGTGTGTGCTGCAAGGTTGTGTCTGTGCTGTGGTTTCCCTGTGGCCCATGGAGTGTGTGTGTGTGTGTGTGTGTGCTGCAAGGTTGTGTCTGTGCTGTGGTTTCCCTGTGGCCCATGGTGTGTGCGCGCGCTGCAGGGTTTCGCCTGTGTTGTGGTTTCCCTGTGGCCCATGGTGTGTGTGTGTGTGTGTGTGTGTGCTGCAGGGTTGTGCCTGTGTTGTGGTTTCCCTGTGGCCCATGGTGTGTGTGTGTGTGTGTGTGTGTGTGTGTGTGTGTGTGTGCACTGCAGCAAGCATCTCTCCTGGTGTTCCTGTATCTGCAAAACATAGTGTGCATCGTGGAGGGGGTCTTTTCTTCTGTTCTGCGCATCATCTGGACTGTGTGTGTGTCTTGCGGGGTGATGATGCCTCCTTGTGTTGCTGTGGGCAGGTCGTACATGTATGCTTGTTGCAGTGCATGTCTGTCCCAGTGCTTGATTCATTTTGTGTGTGTGTGCAGAGTTGCATGTTGTGTTTCTGTGTGTGGTAGGTTGTGTGTTTGTGTTGGCGAGGGAGTGTTTCTTTGAGTCTCGTTGTATGTGTGGGTATATGTTGCAGTGCGTGAGTCAGTCTCAGTGTTTTTGTGGGTCTGATGGTGTGTTTTGTGTTGTGGTGTCTCAGCATTTCTGAGCCTGGCATTGTGTGTGTGTGTAACACTGTGTGTGTGTCTGCGTTCCTGTTTGGAACCCGGCTGGGCCCAGGCCTTCTCCAGTCCCACATTCCTCCCGCTCCTTTGTGCTCTGTGCTACAAAAAATATTTGCGTTTTCCACGACTCATAATTTTTCCTCCTCAATCGCTACCAGATGTGGGCCCTGTGGTCCTGGTCCCCATGGCAACGGAGGTTCCAGCAGCCGCGGTTCCTTTTGTGGCGCCTGCCCTGGGAGCTGGCACTGCTGCAGGCCCGAGGGGGTGGGGAGGGAGTGCATGTCGGACAGGGGGGTTTTGAAGGGTCCCAGCAGCTCCTTCCCCAGATGGCCACCTGGGTCATCCTGTGTGGGGGGAGCTTCTCGGCCTAGGTCCTGCCTGGCCTACAGGCCACAGCATCTGACCAGCAGGGAGGCAAGTGGCAAGGGTTGGAAGCCGAAAGTTCAGGAAGAGCCCCTCCTCTTCTGGGAGGCACCCACACAGAGGGGTTCCTGCAGGTTGGGGTCTGGAACACCTGGAAGTCTCCCAGGGCAGGGGGAGCAGAGACCCCAGGAAAGGCCTGGTTGATGTGACCACTACTGGTCCAGGCTGGGGGGAGAGGGAGAGATGGCGCTAACTAGGGGTGAGGGGGTTACAGCAAGATTGTGGCTTGAACCACTGCACTGTCCATCCCCACCCCCTCAGTCACTGCTCTGCCCTCTGGTTCAGCTGGTCATCTGCTCCTCCGGGCAGACTTTGAACCTGTGTTCTCAACCCCAGCAGCCAGCATGGCCTGGTGGCCAAATGGATCAGAGGCCAGCCAGCCGCAGGGCCAGAGCGGGGAGGATACCCAGCTGGCCCGAGGGAAGCAGCGTGTCCTGGAGATACGGAGCCCGCGTGCTGCCTAATCAGGCCAGATGCAGAGACTGACTGTGTTGATGCCAGCCCTGCCAGATGTCCCCTCGTGGCATGAGGCTATCTCCACTCAGGTGGCTGGGTCCCTGTATGGGTCACTGAAGTTGACCTCAATGTGGTATCCAGCCAGAGAGTTGCCAGGTGAGATCTCTGAGGTGCCAGCATTGGTCAGACTCCTGTGGTGCTGTGGTCCACAGGGCGAGGGTGGGAGGTGGTTGGAGAATCCTGGCAGAATCTCCTGATCCAAATTGGAAAGAGGCCCAATAGGCAGAGGCAGGGAGACAGAAGTCCAGATAGATGGAGGACAGTGGGCACCTCAGAGAAATAAGGCTCTGTAGCTGTGCAAGGGCCCTTGGGAGGCCAGATCAGTGAAGACACTGGGAGACAAATGGCAAGATAGAAGGTCAGGCCAGAGTGTGTGTCGGGGGAGAAGGGGGAGGGGAGAGGGGAGGACTGCCTTTGAGGCCAGCCAGGGCTCTGGGCCAGGCCCACTTCCCTCCCTCTACCCCCAACACCCCCGGACCGGCGGGGTAGGTGGTGAGAGTTTCCGGCTGAGGACAAGGAGCCCATTGAGGCGGACAGCGGGGCTCTGTGCAGTGCCCGGCTGCCTTGTTTGTGCCAGATGAGGCCAGGCTGGAGGCTGTGCCCGTGGCCCACTGCCCCCTGGCCCCAGCCTCTGACCTGACCTAGCCACACCAAACAGCTCGGAACCCCCAAGTGTAACAACAGTGGCCAGAGGGGAAAGCACAGGTCAGACGCAGCCCCACACACCCACGCCTTATCCTCAAGGGGCTCCGCCTGATTTGTTCTGACCCACTGGTCATCCTGGGAGGATGGGGAGGGCCAAGGTGGGTGGGAAATTAACTTGACAAAATGAATGATGGGCAGATGGACACAACTGGCTTCCAACGTGGTCCCGGGAGACCCATCCCTGGACTCCCAGGCTCTGCTTAGGTTAGGGGTTCTGGGGGTGTGAGTTGCCAGCTTGGCGACATCCTTGTCCTCGGCTCCGCAGATAGGAAGCAGTCAGAGCAAGAGGGGGAAAAGAAGGCACTTTATTAAGAAAGCTTTGGCCAAGCCCCTGCCGGGAGGAGCCCGTCCTGGGGCACCCGGATGAGGCGGGAGCAGCCCTGCTGGGGGGCTATAAATATGTCTCCTCAGGCTACTGGAGTGCCCCTGGGGTTCCCACCAGTGTGTGGCGTGGTGGGAGGCCATCAAAACCAGCTGATGGCCGAGGGGCCAGGGCTGGGAAGGCTGGGGCAGCAGGAGCAGGAAAGGGGAGGGTGGGGAGGATTGAGCCCTGGGTGCTGAGCCTCCTGGGGAGCAGAGGCCAGCCCTGCTCCCCAGGCTCCGGTCAACCAGAGACCCTGATGCCCCGCCAGGGGACAGGGCCTGGGGCTGCGGGAAGGCAAGGAGACTGCAGCCAGAGGCGCCAGGCCCTGGCCATGAGAGGCAGACGGGGCAGAAGTGCTTCTGGCCTCAGGCAATGAGAAGGCAGGCCCAGCCAGGTGCACACCAGGCCAGTAAGAGGTGGTCTCCGGGCAGAACCCTCCAGTCCTGGCCTTTTGGAGACCCGGGCTGGCCTGAGCCCTACATAACTCGGCCAATGCAAAGGGAGCCGTCAGCTAAGCGCCGGTCAGGCCTTGACCAATGGGAGCCGCCGCTGGGGCCTGAGCCAGTGAGACCCAGGATCCCTCCTGACCCATGACTTCGGCGCCCCCGCGAGG